ATGATATAATTGGGGGGTGAGGGGTTCATGATATAATAAGTGTAACACTCACCAGATTCCGATAAGTAGTATATAATCTCCGATCTCATATTCCTGTAACAGATATAATATACAATGTGACAATGGCAGTCCGGTGCCGTGTCGTTATAATCGGTGACGTCATATTACCGTAACACTCGGCGGACTCCGATAAGAAGTGTATTATGAGACAATGGCAGTCTGGAGCGGTGTTCATACAATTCCCGATCTCATATTACTGTAACTCTGCGATAAGAATTATTATTATTAGACAACAATAATATTACAGAAAGAGAATTGTTATCAGCTGGTGACAACAGAGCTGTGACAACAGGTTTCGTGTAAACACCGCATTCCACCAGCGTGAATCACCGCGCAGACACCTGGCCAGCACGCTTCACTTTCCCCACCTCTGCTCTCATTGGCTCCCCATTCATCGTGAGCTCATCAGCTTCCGGACTGGGGGCGAGGCCTTCGCCCTATAAAACGTCTCAGCTCGCCGCACGCTCTCATTCATTCGCTCGTCCGCGGAACGCTAAAGAGTTGTAGAATGGTGACGTCACCTCTGCCCACAGCCGACATGGAGGAGTGCGGCATCTGTTACCTAGACTACGGCCAGGAGAGGAGGAAGTGCTCGTTGGCGGCCTGCCGTCACGTGGTTTGCTCGGACTGCCTGGACCGTCTGGCGGCCAGGGCGGGCGAGGTCACGTGCCCCTTCTGCCGCGCGCCCTCTCCGTTGCCCAGCGACGAGGAAGGGGAGGAAAGCGACGTCGCGGTGAAGGGTCCCTTCAAGTGGCTGAAGAGGCTGTGCAAGAAGACGAGGGCGGGGTCTCGCCGCAGAGGTGAGCCGTGGTTGATTGACACACAATTCTAACATTGTATTGCTGTATACTGTAAGGGGGCGTGGCTTTGAATGATTTGACAGTTGGGAATTAAAAATGTAAATTTTAAGTACTAGTTTGTTTCTTGACCCAATAACTGTACATAAGATGGCATCACATCCAACTTTACACAGGGGAACACTGCGATTGGGGCTGGTTGCCATGGGTTACAGCATGTAGAGCATCAGCAAGCTGGTTGCCATGGGTTATGCCTTATTGAGTATCCTCATCTCTCTTTGCACCATTTTCCTGAATTGGCTTTGCTTGTATCACAAAATTTGACTGCAAGAGGCATATTTTAAAAAGCAGTGAATGTGACTTTCACCAAACATTCATTAGTGGTGAACTTATTACTACACCTGACAGATTCACCTGTAGTGATGGTTTATTGAATGTCGGTGTCACTGCTTTATAAATCTTCCCTAATAGTTGGTGTTTAGCACCTGTACTGCCCGTCCCTGCTCTAGCCAATGTCGGCCATAAATGTTTCTATACAATGATGCTTGTGGTGAAGGGAAGGCAAAGAGTATTGTTCCTGACTATTGTTGTGGGGGCCCGGGAGACCCGCTGCAAGGGAGGGGGCCCGGGAGACCCGCTGCAAGGGAGGGGGCCCGGGAGACCCGCTGCAACGGATGGTATGGACCCGAAACGGGAGG